TATGTGCTGATGCTTCTTTATCAACAATATTGTACAATACAATAAAAGCTAATTCTGATTTATATTCCACATCAGAACACAAGGAAAAGCTGCTTCCATTCAGTTATATAGTAATACAATACTAACTTATATAGTCTATATGGTATGGTCTTGACATGCTAATTGGTAGGTTATATATGCAGGAAAACAGCAGTTTGCGTCATAGTTTCACTTTGATTACCTCAGTCATCATGAGCAAGTTTGATTTTTATGTAACTTCCATCCATCCATCCATTTCCTTACACGCTTGTCCCGAGTGGGGTCGCGAGGGGTGCTGGTGCCTATCTCCAGCAGTCAATGGGCGAGAGGTGGGGTACACCCTGGACAGGTCGCCAGTCCATCGCAGGGCTTACGTAATTTCTTTTATGATCATTTTTTTCAGCAAAGATTTATTCATCCACCTTTTGTGAGTTGTTAATCTTTTTTCATATAATTGTGAAGCTTTAATTTATTTTGGTGCATTTTGATATAAAATAGACAACAGAACATTGCATAGATTTTAAATGCAGATATCTGACGCGGAGGCCACTGAAGACTTAAAATAGCCTTGGGAATAAAACAGAATAAAACAAATTTAATAAAAATTACACAAAAATCATACATTAAGCATTATTTCCTTTTACCAAATAGAAGATTGGGTGTTTTTATGTTTGTTTTCTTACCAGGCTTTGTTAATGGCAGCATGTTGTGGATAAACAGAAAAAAAATAAATAAATTCAGACCAATTGTGGAAAAAAGAAAAACTGTTAGGCCTAAAAACCTTTTGAAAAAAACAAACCTTCCTGCTAAGACATGACACGTAACTAAACAGATACCTTACCCTTTAATTCAGCATTGTCTTTATGCTCAAACAATGATTTGAGTTTTATTCCATCTGCTAACAATAAAAATACAAATTAAAAAGTGTTAACTGCAATAATCGGTTAATCCAACCAAGCCATTGGTTCAACATGTGTTCTGTTTTTGTATTCTGTTTTTAATGACTGTAAAGGTTTACTACTCACATAGCATTGAATGGTTCCAAACAACACCTCTAGTTAGGTGTAAAAATCCACTTCTTGCATTTTAGGTTTAAAAAATAGGTGATCTCAGTATAATATCAGGATCTTTACATTTAATATTACCAAATAAATAAATCTAAAAATGTCGAGGGTTCTAAAAGCATTATTTTTTCTGCGCTAGATCTTATTTTAGGTATGAAATGAATGTGATCATTTCTGATGAATTAAAAATCAAGTCTGATGTTGTTATACTAGATGAAGAATAAATTTGATCATTTGATCTAGACAGCTGTTTTGCCATGCTAATAAACTACTCTCCAGGAGTCAATGACAGTGGATTTAAAGCTGAGCTGCTGAAAATCCTCTAAATTTCACAGAGCATGGGATCACTTTAGCTCCAGCTGAAACTTTGTTCATGGTACGCATTCCAGGTAATTCCATCATCTGTGTCCTGCCACGGCTCTTTGTTTAACAGGTTAGCGCCGACTTTTTCTTTGTCATCCATCTCGTTTTTTTGCTGTATGGTGAAACGTGTTTGCTTTTCTCAAGTCCTCTCTGAAATAAAGAACTTAACAGATTTCCATGGTGCATTGAAATATTGACCCCTAATGCGTGAATCGTCTCGGTTTCATAAGCAAATATTTGCCCTATGCAATGGAGATTGACTCTTTTAAACATTTAGTAGTATTATTTAAACTTTTCCCATTAGAAGTGAGAATTTGGAGTGTACATAATCTACAGAACAAACTTAAAATGACCTTGAGTGAAATGACTCCCCACAGATACCCTGTTTCCCTCAAGCTAAAGAAGCCAAAGCAATATATCAACAAATAGCTCAAAGTCAGTCAGACACTGACAGAGATGGCAAAAGTACTCACTTTCCGTACTTGAGTAAAAGTACAGATACTTGTGTTAAAAAATACTCTGGTAAAAGTGGAAGTAGCTACTGATTAAACTTCTTTACTCAAGTAAAAGTAACAAAGTACAGGCTTGTAAATTTACTTAAAGTATAAAAGTAAAAGTAGAAAC